TTTTTTTTGTTTTTTTTGTTTTTTTTTTGGTCCTCTGCAGACTTCTCTATTTTCGTCGAAAGTCTCAGAAAATTGTTTCTTGTTTTTTTTGATCCTCTGCAGGCTTTTCATGTTCCTTAACTAGAAAATGATTGAAAAACCTATGAATTAAAAACCCACCCCCCATGACAATCCCTTCTGTATATATATATATATAATTGTATGTGTATGTTGTGTGTACTTAAATCTGTGTATGTTTTGTTTGTAGTTGTTTGGCCATTGTTTGTAAGTGACATGCTGTGACATGCTGGCCATCGCAGGTCCTGAGAAGTGCAAGAAACAAACACAGAATCCGGAATATCTCCCCGATTCCTTACGAAGATTCTTTATGTTCTTACCCAGACACTCCATGTATGTTCATATATGCCAGCCATTAGCCGATCAGGTTGGTGTGATTTTGGGGGTCAATGTAACAAGTTCAAGTCCCATAGCGTGTTTGGGTCTGAACTTTCTGGAGAACTTCCCTGGACCTCCAGGACTATATGCACAGCAGGGCCGACGCGAGCCCTGCACGAACCGGCGTGATTTCTGTTCGCTCGTTAAGCGGAGCTTTTTCACGGAGAGTTAGACAGACCAGAATTGGTACCAGATGAGAAAACGCTCCAACAAGCGCCCAAACGGGTGAGAGATGCGGTGGAAGAAGAAGAAGAAGAGGAAGAAAAAGAAGAAGAGGAAGAAGAAGAAAAAGAAGAAGAAAACATATATATGTTCTTCTCTTCTTCTCTTCTCTTCTTATATATAATTATGTTCTTCTCTTCTTCTTGTCTCGTCTTTTTGAAAAGGCTCCAACAAGCGCCCAAACGCGTGAGAGATGGCACCAGATGAAAGAGATCGGGACTTCGCTTCATCTTCAGAGCTTCAGACTTAGAACAGAGTGCTGGCTGGAATGACTTGTCCCTAGGGCTCCAAGTACATCCGGATGGAAGGTATTTAGACCTCAAACACCTCAGAAGCTACTTGGAGCTCTAGGGTGTTGGAGGATTAGATCTCAGTGTTGCCCCCCCAATCGCGCCAATCGCTCGGCGTCCGCTTCGGACCCCCGCATCGCGCCAAATCGGCCGCTTTGGACGGGACCGCTCTTCAGCATCCCAAAAGCCTTCGCCGCTTGGGTTCTTTTTTAACGCCACCTGCAGAATGGAAGAGTTCGCATGCACTGCGTGCAGGTGTCTCACACGGCGGCAGTGCACATGCAGCAATTAGATTGGGGTAATTCTACCAGAGGAATGGCCTAACCCTAAGCATCAAGGAGATGCTTTTTTGCTTTTCGCAGGGGTGAAGGGACCCGAACCAAGCCTTCACCTGAGGGGCCTCAGGGTTCTTATAGAGAAGACTCGAATTGAATCTTCCATGAACCATCATGAACCACATCACCTGTGCCGCACCTGACTGAGCATTGCCGGTGTTTTAGAGGCCTGGTTGAAGCCCTTCAAGAAGGAGTTGGAGGTGGACCTGGACAGCGTGGTAATCCTTGCGGAGGACTCCACCTTCGGCGCCCCTCAAGTCTCCCGCTCATTCTTTGCTTTTGTGGTGGTTGGATCTGGAGCGATGGGAACAGATGGGAACCCTGGTCCCAGGAGGTCCCAGATGGGCCCTCTTTCCGTGCAAGAAATAACAGAACCAGGTTAACTGTCAACTGTCGGCTTTTCATGGAGCTCTTTGAAAAAAACTAGTTCCGGCGGTCTGCGGCGAGGGGAGATGAAGACGAATTCTGATCAGGCAAGCATTCTGATCAGCCTGTAAACTAGACCCCAACACCCAAACACTCCATTGTCTATACATTGAATCGACCCTGCCTAAATATGGTCTTATATGTGATAGATCGACACTTGAGTGTGTTTAAAAACTGGCGAGCCCTTAGACCATCTATATAGACCTAATGGTTGGGACCCTTCCAAGCCTGGGACACTGACCATCTGACTCCACGTTCGCCGCATTCGCGCCGATGGGGACGGACCGCGGAGCTCCGACGATCTGACGAGGAGCGCTTCCAATCGCGAGTGCGATTGCCACTACAGCTGATGACCATCCAAGCGGGCTCCAGGATTCAAGAGAAATACCAGCAGCTGGGATGGAGAAGGGATGGAACAGCGGAAGGTCAGATTTAGGGATAGAAGTATAGCGAGGTTTTAATGGAAGTAGCTCGCATCAGGGGGAAATGCCGACTGTTCTAATGGTCTTCTTGGTCTTTTGGATGTTTTTTGGAACCTTCCAACAGCTTCGCTTTGTCCAACTGACACCATCTCATGTGCTTCCAAGACTCCCAGCTCCAGCTCGGACGCAACGCGCCATCCGCCGCAACGGCCTCGTGCATTCGCCTCGTCCTTTTTTGTTCTCGATCAACGTTTGGACCGTTGATGGGAAGCTCACCGAAGTTCGGATAGAAAGCTCAACGCAGGTAGGTTGTTCTCGTATGCACATACCGAGATTCATCGAGATTCCTTTTGCGCTGGCGATGTTGCATGTATTTGTACATGCAGGTGCAGAATCTTCCGCTTTAAAGTCGCCGCTAGCGGACAGAAGCCTGCTCCAAGCAGAGCCCAATCGCATGGCAGTCGCATGGCTTCTTTATGAGCAGTGCAGGATTTCCAGAGAAACGAATTTCCCTGATGTTGCCAGTGTTTCAGTCACTCCTTTTGACGAAAGGAGTCAGTGAGACTTTCGGCAACACCGATCACCTTAGTGTACGCTGCGGTTGCCAAGCAGAATGAAGCCAATAACATGTTTTAGGGCTCCAAGTGCCTCCTCAGATGGTATTTGGACCCTCCTGGCACCCACCCCAAACAACTTCTTAGACGGTACTTGGGAGCCCTAGGGATGCAAATAACATGGACATAACCACATTTGCTTCACTCTGCTCACTAAAAACAACACTGATTCCTGGCCATGGGCCGCGGCTGCCTCATCCTGTCCGAGCTGCTCGGGTGTGTTTGGGTGCCGGTTTCTTGCAAAGGCGCTTCCAACGTTGGAGTTGACTCAGCAAAGGAGCGTAAGCTCAATCATCCGGAGGAAATCACATCAGCATTCGGCACCATGAGTTTCGTGTTCGAAGGCAGATTGCTCTTTGGGACCAGGAACCTGATCCCAGCTGTGCAGAATTCTCCCAGCTGTGGCGAGAACCTGCCCTGTCACTGGATTGCTTGAGGGGGGCGAGGTAGGTGGTTTTAGAAAGGCTGGCCATGGCTGGCCTTTCTGCAGAGAATAGTTGCAGTTGGTTGAGGAAATGGGCTGAATTGGACGCTGAAGTGGCTCAGAAAGTCTTTGAAAGCTCTTTTTCTTCATGAACCTTCATCAAAGGCTTAGTGGTTTCATGTTGGAGCAACGCTCAGTCCTTGCCTGGGAGGATGCAACATATGACTTGCAGTGTCAATACTTATTCAGTGTTTCATACTATATGCAATACTTCAGTGGAGTGTCAATACTTCAGTGGAGTATAGTTTCTAAGAATCGATATTCAGTATCAACTTGGGCGCGATCGCCACCAGCAAATGCCGCAAGAGCTCGTCAAAAGTATCTCCGCATGCTGGAGCAGTTTTGCTGATATCGTTGAACAACGGGGGGCCGGTTGATGCCCCTGTGCCGTTGCTTTCGGTTAAACGGAAGTCAGACTGACTGAGGTAGTGTAATATATTAGTAAACACACACATATAATAATTATGTCAGCAGAGAGAGATAGAGAGAGAGAGAGAGAGTATACATGCATATGTATATTTAAAGAATACACATGCATATTACGACACCATCGTTACGAATCGTTGAGCTCGCTGGGCCAAAGGACGGGCCGAATCTCATCTGCTGGTCCTCTGTGATTCCCATCTTCGGGACGAAGGGCGTTTCAGGCACCAGGAGCACCCCAACCCTCCAGATTTTTCAGAGGCAGAGGCCGAATTCAAAGTCCAGGCAGAGGCCTCGAAGTCACGCTTTCAAAGCGTTGGTTTTGGAACTTTTGGAGCCGAACATGTTCCGATGAACTCATATATGAACTCTGTTTTTGCCTCCCTTGGTATCCTCACTGAAGCCACCGACTTCAAGAGAGTTTATAGTTGCTGTGGCAACTATATAGGACATTATTAGGACTCCTTTGGCAAAAAACAACAACCCGGATTAATCCATATTGACATGTCCTGACCCCCTTTTTCGTCGGCTTGCCCGAGGTATCGCTTGACCAACGGCCTACTGATCAGTATCGCCGAGAGGTATGGCAGCGCAGACTCTGCGGTTGTGGATTGGAACGTGTTGTTTTTGGTGTTTCCCATGTCTAAATTCAATCATTTAGTTATACAGGTTCGGTGTTTTTGGGTGACAGGTTGCGATCTTGCAAAAGAACAAGACGATTCCTATTTGGAAACGGTTCTCCCAATTGACCTGTAGGCGGTTGACGTTGGACCTCTCACCACCCAGGACTACGTGGCCAAGAATGGCCCCGACGTGGCCATTCAGCAGGCGACGCGAAATGTGGCGGCCGCCCTGTTTGGCTTCTCCGATGATCCCAATGTGTACCTCAACTGAAGTGTTTATTTGTTTTGGTTCACCCAGCTGCAAACCCATTCGTGGTATATCACCTGTATATCACTGTGAGGATCCGCCCTGCCCTCGGCCCTGATGAACCAAACGGGCCCACACCGATGCGTTTGACGGAAGCGTTTGGCGGAAGCGGGGAACTGGAATTGTTCAGCGTCCTGCTCGCTAGAGGGATTTTCAGCTGCATGTGCGTTCCTTGGGTGTTTTGCGTGCTGAAAACGGCTTCTACTATATTTGAATAGAAGGATCAAACCGAAGAGCAATTAATCTTCAATCTCTTTATTTGATGGGAGGATGACACCAGGTCTCAACCATTGGGCAATCACTGCCATTTGTCCAGGACCTAACATAATATTAGGGTATTTAGGACACAAGTTCAGAATCCTTGCGTATTCAGAGGACATGTTGAACAGGACATGTTCTGAATCTCATGCAAGAATTTGAAATCATCCGCTTCATCCTTCGGCTTCGCCGAGGGCTCGCGCCTCGTCCTTCCTTCAGCTTCATCTCCTCGGTTTTGCTCAAGCGCTCTTTCGTGATGGCCGGCGAGAAGCACGTTCCGCCGGTCGCGCTGAGGCGATACTTGCGGGCTTTGCCAGAGGACCTGGTCTCCAGCATCTTGCAGAAGCACGGCCTCGACTGAGCGAGAGAGGCAAGAACGGGTCCAAGCAAGCTGAGAACGCAAGCTGGTCCTGCGGCTCCGTCCACTAGTGGTAATGCCTTTGTTACTACTAGTAAGGCCCTTGCTACTAGTGGCTTCTAGCTACTAGTAGTAGTGACCTTGTTACTACTAGTAAGGCCCTTGCTACTAGTAGCTTCTAGCTACTAGTAGTAATGC